TCGAATGATTAAGCGTTTTGCGCGGCGACCAACCCGAGAGAGCTCGCCGAGACGTCGTGTCTTGTCGATTGGAGCCCAGGTCAGGATGACATGGACGAACGGAGAACTGTGTGACCGCACATAGCACCGTCGACGTGGGAAGGGCAAATATCTTTTTGAAAACGCCTACTGACGCATCATTTGTAAGTAGCCAAATCTTCTGTGCAAGTAAGTTGTGTTTGACAAAAATGCACAAGTTCACCACGAAAAGCGTGGATCAATGAGTTGGCTCCAGCTTGTCGCATACCCATGCTGCCTGACTGAGGCAACACGATAGCCCATCTCTGGGGAGAAATACGGGTAGAGCACCCAGATCGTACGACATTGATGGGCATAATTCACCTTCAGTTACACCTCGTCGATACTTCATGTTCGCTTACGGCGGTAATGTGACAATTAGCCATATGTTTTCTAATCTGCGCCTAGTGTCTACTCGACACAGCAGCACACAGGTTGATGGTTATGAGAATGGTAATCCTTCATCAGTTCGAGTCCACACAATGAAACGCTCTTTGAATGCATAGCCCGACTAGGCCTCAAATGTGCTTCCTGGCAACACAGTGATGGCGGGGGTCTTCCAAATGTCCCAGTCCTCAGCGACCTCGCGTACACCAAAAGGCCGCAGGGCCGCGATCCGGAAACTTGTACGGTCAGCCCCTCATATCCAGATCCTAAGTAATTAGCGGAACTCACGTGTATGATCCAGGCAGCACCTGAGACCCATTGGCATATCTTCCAAGCCAGTAGTAGATACCGTTTCGGCCATTTGGTTGAGTGTAAAGAGGGAAAGAGAAGATATCATCTTCACTGTCCTCGCCAGGGATGAACCAGGAAGAGCTTGCGGTGCCGTTCCAGCTGGTGGCCGAGCCTACGAAACCCTTCTCCCCAACTACGGGAGGATAGGACCATTCGGCTTCGGAGTAGTTACCTTGGAAAATCTATGCGACAGTAATCAGTTTGTGACATCTCATGGAGTTTCAAAGCTCTTGGACGACTCACATCCCAACGGAGCTCCTCGGTTCCCCAGAGTAAGCGCGTGGTAAGCTTCGGGAAATCTTGTGCCTCCCGCGTAAGATTGAATGTGAAGCTATCAACTGTCAGCGTTGCCTGGAAAGTGAATGTTATGGCTCATCTCACTTGGACTTTTGCTCAAGCCTAATGCTGTTGACTCCTGAAACCAAGTTTGGAAGGCTCCAACCGTAGGCCCAGACACTTTCGATGGTCTGTCTCAAGTCGGTGGCGACACCTGTCGGGTCATTAGTTACACGCCTTCTATCAGATTGGAGAAAATTACCGAAATACGGGACACCCAGTTCCTCGCCATTGCTACCACTCACGAGCACCTTTCCACTGTAAACTGGAAGTTTAGTGGCATTGACACCTTCGGGTGCCTTGAGAGTGAATCTGCCCATTTTGTAAGTCGTCTGTGAGGAATGACGTGCATCGCGGAAACTCACTCCACAGTCTTTGTCTCTCCCGGTCCAACAGCAACTTCTGCAGGCAAGGCAACCTCAGGAGTCATCTTAACGGGGTTGATCTCCGCATACAGTGGAATTGCTGGAATAAAAGTCTGTTGCTGTCCAGGCACTGAAGGCTCATAGGACTCATATCCACCCGCGTCTTGGAGTGAGAACTTGTAAGTGACCGATTCCGAGCCTTGGTTCGTGATATCGACAGAGTGCGTGCCGGTGAAGTGGACCGTGTCGTTCAGCTCAAACTTGCGGCCGTCAAAGCTAAGCTCAGTTGTGTAGCCCAAAATTCTCTCGGCGTCAACAAGGCCACCTCCCACTTGGGTAGTTGGGGCCCAGAAACCATAGTCAGTGACGCTGGTAGCCCAGTCCGCCCAGGGGACGGCGCGGGCAGTAGTTGTGATGCGAGCGATGAGGCGCTTCGCCCATTCGGGATCGTCTTTATGCGCTGACCTTCCGCCAAACTTGCCAACCCACAAAGCAGCAATGCCGGATAAGTAAGGCGTTGCCATGCTTGTGCCACTGAGAACACGATACTCATTTGTCGGGTAGGTACTGAGAATCTTGGTGCCCGGGCCGGAGACATCGGGTTTGAGAGCAAGATCATAGGTGCTACCCCAGGAGGAGTACAGAGCGGGCCGTCCACCACCAGCGTTCCGGATGCCGACATAGTGAGCTGTGTCAATATTGAAAGAAGCCGTCACGTTGCCGCCGGCTAGGATGGTAGAAACGATAGCCTCGCCAGCGCTACCCTCGATGGCCCCAGTGAGACCAACGCGGTTGGAACTGACAGGGCTCTGGTAGATGTCCAGGTTGTTGTAGAAGAGAATGTACTGCGCGCCAAAGGCAGCCACATTGGTATGCTTGGTCGTCACGGTGCAACCGCCAAGTCTCACAAGCACTACAGTTTCGTTCAACTGAGGGGTGTCCGCGGGCAGAGGCTGGCAGGCATCGTTCTCAACGGAAGCGTTCAAGGTGATCGGCTTGATCGGCCAATCGATGATAGTATCTGGGAAGAACCCTGAGCCCGGGACGTAAGCGACGTCGGTATTATTGGAGTTTCCATCGAGGTTGAAATTGGCGGAAAAGGCCTGCGCGGGGAAAACACCAGGATCGCTTGAGGCAACAGTCAGGACATGCTTTCCTGACGCGCCGTTGGCCATAGAGAAGGGACCATCCTGTCCTGAGTTGCCGGCAGCGAAAACGACGACGACGCCATTATCGACAATCCTGGATGCTACCACGGCTAGGGCATTGTTGGTGAAGCCGCTGCCTTCGCCAACGCTGGCGCTGATGATGTCTGCCTGGAAGAGCTGTTAGTATCCAGCATATTTACCATAACATTCAATTTACCCCTGAGTCGAAAGCCTTCAAGAAGCCTTCAATGACCGTCTCCTCATTTGAGTAGCCGCTGCTACCAAAGACTTTGAATGAGAGAAGCTTGGACTTGGGCGCAACCCCGACGAATCTTGGCAAGTTAGTTTAAGTTTTAGCATAACTCTAGGCGAAGACTCAACTGATCACTCTTTCCCGCGATGATGCCGGCCACGTGCGTGCCGTGTCCGTATCTATCCATGGGATCGTTGTCGGGCTGTGCGGGCGCGTCAGGCCATGCTGCCAACTCTAAATCAGCGTCTCTCACACAAGCCCACCGGCTCCGGGGGTTATCACGTACCATCACCGACGAGATCGTAACCACCGATCACCGTGTAGTTATCGCCGAGGCCTCCTCCGAGCTGGCGGACAGATTATAAATCAGCTCAAATCATGTCGGGAACAACGGCAAGATTACCACTCACAGCCGGGTGGGTGTACTGGACACCGCTGTCAACGATGGCGACGACGGCGCCTTCGCCCAGGATTCCATCCTCGTGTAGGTTCTGAACGCCAGTGAGGCCGTGGACCGAGTAGTTCACCGCAGCCGCGTCGTCGCTGAATGACTCGCCTTCCACGGTCGGGAGCAGCTGCAACATCTGAGACTTGTAGACGGAAGCGACAACAGGCTCGTCATCGGACCCGTCAAGCGAGCTCTGGATAGACTGGGCCGTGCAGCCGTGGTCGCATTCGACGGCGATTCCGGGGAAGATATCCGAGTCAAACTGCTTCACGACTCGAAGCCCGGGCAGCCCAGACGAAGCCTTGGAAGCCACGCGCGATCCGTGTGCGCGTGACTTCAGCTCGACGATGTATCTCTTAGGCGTCGCATCGCTAGCAGCGCTCTCGTTGAGTGAACGAGGCGTGAGTTGATGCAGCGCCTGAGCGGTGCTGAGCAGCGCCGCGAGGAAGGCTGCTTCCGCGCGCATGATTGTCGATGCGTGGTAAACGAAAAAGAATGTAAGCGTGTGCAAGGCACATGGCGAGCCAAACTTCCCGCCATCGCGAGAGCGCGAAAGTCGCCGTTGAAGTACGCCATCTCGTCGCCAAGAAGCACGGCATGTTGTTTTCGACACCTGCCCAATGAGGTCCAGCGCGCATCATGCAATTTGTGATGGTTCGTTGTTTTAACACGGGAAGATCCACTAGCGTTGCATTGCCGGACGAACTTGCGCCTTGAGAGGCTGTTTGAAGTGAAGTAATATGGGGGAACAGGGGCCGTTTAATGGCAAACACGGGACTAGCGTGGGCGATAGGAGCAATACGAACTCTTCGGCATCGGGGCCCAGGGGTCGTGACAGGGGCAGATGGGCGGATAGCTCCTCGGTCAATCTGCTTAAGGCTAACGGAACGTCATAATGTAACTGCAAGTTCGTACTTCGGTGACCGTTGATGCTTCAGGCGAAAATCGCCTCGTTCGACGATTGAATACCCAAAGCGGAAAGTCTGTACCGACGTACTCGGCCTCGTTCACAACATGCTTCGACAGAGTTCGAAAACAAACCATTTTCAGAAGGATTGACGGACTCAATGAAAGTTCCGTGAGACTGAAACGAAACATTGAAACTGATTTTCTCATTACGCTAACTGGTATCAAAATCTGGTATTATTTCATCGGCGCCGGATCGTCGTCCAGAGGTATCGACTTCAGTCCCAACTCCAAATCCGACGACTCCATAATGCTATGACGCGAGCCATGAGTGTGATTCGTAGATCTCGCCCCAAACGTGTCGTGGTTCAACTGTATTTCACTCCCATCCGAGACGTGCCTTGCATGGTTCGCTTTGTGCCCCGATTCCTTGGAGCCGACTGTGGCGGGAACCGCGTCTCCTGGTCCCGAGCCCGGCCCACGTTCTCTCCCAACATCGTGGTTCGTCGATCCCAGTAGTCGAGGGAAGAAGCGTCTTGCCAGGGGTTTTAATGTGATTAGGCAAGCGCAGACAATGGCCGTGTTCAATTCAATGATAGACCATTCGGCTATGCCTGGACTGTCGAACGTCGGGTCGGTCGACTTGAAAGCTGAAGCTAGTGACGGAATACGCAATATTGACACTACACAAACACTGTACATGGCCGGTTAAATCACACGCTCAGTTCTTGGGACAGAACTACCGGTACTTACAAGAACCCGAGTGCAAATATCAGGTACAAACTGATCTTTTGCTGGCGGGGCTGTTTTATCTTTGGGAGTATCGGCAAAGGGAGGATGAGGATCACAAAATCGGTGAAAATATTGATGGCGGCGTTGGCAAACCAGGTAGCTCCCCTGTCAAGACATTTCCCAGGTGCACTGTAGTCATGGTCAGCACTACAACAGACGCATTTCAGGTGACCATAATTCAACAGACCTTGGTTTCCAATTCTTCTCAAAGGGTAAACAAAATAGGACCGATGAGAAAACCGTCCATGTGGAGACTACCGCGACGAGAGACAGTGCAATGTAGCACGCTTTGCGATAGTTGAGGTCTCGTAGTACCCGCAGATACAACAGCAGGATAGAGACCTTGACGAAGGCCAGTCCGAGGTTGTAGAAGATTATAGTAATGTACGACCACTACTCATGACGGTCAGCTTGACTCGACAATAACGACTCGTGGGACTGGACCAGTAAATTCTCCTTACCTTGAAGAAAGTCTGCTGTTGGTGCACACTCAGAGTCTCGTATCGCTCGCCCATTCCAGTGATAGCTTCTGTCAGATAATTAGCAACAACAGAGGAAGACGGTGTTCAGGCTTCTTACGAATAGCCATCCCCGCGGATTGGCAGGCGGACCAAATCTGTTCCATCTCGCAGTCAGTCTCGGGGTTTTCTTTCAGTGTGCACCGCATGCCTCAAGGCTCGAGTGGGTTGCCATCGCTTCCTGGTGTCTTTGGTGGTGATCTCAGCGTACCCATGCGATCAGAATCCACGCATCCTCCCACCCCAAAAGTCGCGCCGGTGATAGACGCGCATAGAATCTCAAGCCAACAATGATCCCCGAAAGAACAGCCGATGCCACTGCACAAGATATGACAGACTGCCCCTGGGGCGCCAAACCGGGCGGGCCGCCATCCTCAATGACGTCGACGTTGAAAGATTCCATATCCATATCGATTCGCGACCGAGCCTTGGCCGTCGCCAAAATGCCTTGTAATCATCGAGTACCAAGCCGTCAGAGACTAGATTCTTCGCTCACGACGTCGATTCTTCCCATTCACATCGTCTGCGGACAGCCGTCGGTGTCGCGGTGTTGATGTCTGGCCGTGGCTCTCATGCGCAAGCCAACGTCGGACTGCGGGTCACCGTTGGGTGGGAGGAGAAGAAAAGACCTGCAGATGCTGCGGACTGACTTGGGAAAAATATCAGACCCAAGCATGAAGGACAAGCTAGCGAGCGATTTAGAGTGTCATTAGAGTCAAAGCGGTACCCCGGCATCATCCAGCCCTAAGGTGCTAAGAGGAATGCAAGGGGCGGAGGCGCTACACCATCTTGGCCAAGACACCCTGTTGACGCCCCGTCCCAAGGCCCAAAGAGGCCAAGAGGCTTCGCTATTGGCTGGTAACACGAAACCAAGCTGACGAGCTGAAGAGCCTCTGGAGAGGCTGCAGTGGTGTGGGAAGGGGGCTAAACTCCGTTTCGTGAGGGTAAAGCCGAAGGGATTGTTCCCTGTCCGTTGCCAGGGATGGGCGGGAAACAGGAGTCACGACCACGCAGACGAAGCTGTTAAGCTTCGCTGTAAAACCTCACATCGCAAGGATATCACGGGCCCGGAGGCATGGACAACTTGTCCGCCTGGGCAGCATGGCCCATGCTCCTCGAGTACTCGAACGGGCGTGCAGATCATCTGGAGTGACCTGCCTTGTTCGATAAAACAGGAGTGCCATTGGGCCATTGGCTGCATAAGTTTTGACTCCCGTATTGCTGAAGCTTCGCAACCTCAAAACATTGGCCCCTGCTCTCTGTCTTCCCACCCATTCAGGTGGGATCCGTGAGGGAGGAAGGGCGCACGCACGAGCTAGAGAATCGTGGCTAGCATGCATTTCGGGCTTGTCAGCCGAAAATGGGAGAGGTCTCAGACATGGAAACTAAGTTGGTAACTGGGATCAGCGCTTATGTTTTGACGAGCCGGTGGCTTGCTTAGGTGGCGTGTATGCTTTGAGGTTAGGCCCATCGCGTGAAGACATTGTCTGAGGAGAACACCCATGAGTTTGACTGCGGCCTTGACACAAGAAAAAAGTTGATTTCGTTCAAGTGATGTCAACGAGCGCGGGCCAGATGCTCCAACTCCACCGCCTGAACTATCAAAGTTGAAGTGTCTTCCCCGACAGAGGTGTTCCCCGAATGCGGACCGAATCAGAGAGAGCTTGTCCTGCAAGGTTGAAAGAGAAGGTCCATCCGCACCCCCTAGCTCTTTGAGGTTATTCGTCCCGCACCTCGCCCACCTACACGGAAAAGAAGACGGAAGTGTTCTGATCACCGGACGATGACCCAATGTCGCAAGAGGATGCGCAAGGTGAGGCTGCAAACGAGGCCTAGCTAAAATGCGACAAATTCGCATTCGCGATGGACGCAATTTTATCCATAAAGTCCGCCAAGATATGTCACATTGACGGCACTCTGATCCTTACAACAAGGAGACTGTTGAATTAGCCTCTTCATCCCCGGGTTAATGTCTTGGATGCGAAGGTCTAGACACGGAAATCTGGTGGCTTGAGCCACTTAGCGTTCAATGTCTCGGATCGGTTCTAGCGAGTCACTAATACGGCGATGGAGAAACTCCCGCCTCAGAACGGCGACAAGAGCGAGGAAGACTAGCAGTGAAGTGTCGTCAACTCATGTAATTTCGACTAACTTGATAGGTAACATTTGAAAAGCACGATGATTCCAGTCGCCAAGTATGCCACCCAGCCCGAACGAAGTCTAGAACAGGAGGCGAGTTTTCTATCCATTGTCCCTTTTACAACCCATTCCAGACAGATTCCGCCGCAACCGAGATCTCGGCTCGGCGATCTCCAACAAGAACGCCATAGACCCCCTTTTCCAACCTCCAGGCCTTCTGCGCCTCGTCCCAGTAGCTGCAGGCGATTTTCAGATCAACCTCCAACGTCGTCACCTTAGACTCTCCCGGTTGCAGATCCACCTTCGTGAAAGCCTTCAACTCGCGCTCGGGTCTCCAGACGGAGGTCTCCTTCGCGGGACTGACGAACAGCTGCACAACCTCCTTGCCTGCGCGGGAGCCAGTGTTGGTGACCTTGACAGTCGCCTTCAGCTTGGCTACACCCGACTCTGACTCCAAGACGGTCGCGTCCAGGTCCGAGTACGCGAACGACGTGTACGACAAGCCGTAGCCGAAAGCCCACCGCGCCCGTGTTGCCGCGTTAGCGTGCCGGTAACCCACACCCAGGCCCTCCGCGTACTTCAGCGCGATGCTGCCGTCCTCGGTCTTGGTAGCCGGGAAGTCGCCGAAGCTGGGCACGTCCTCCAACGTCTTGAACCACGTGGTCGCGAGGCGTCCGCTGGGGTTCGTCTTGCCTGTCAAGATGTCCGCCGTCGCCTGCGCGCCCTCCTGTCCGGGGAAATGTGCGAGCAGGATGGCGTCGACGTCGTCGACTACGGCGCTGACGTCGATGGGGTTGCCGCAGTGAAGAACGAGGACGGTCTTCTTGGACGCGGCGGCAACGGCCTTGATCAGAGCGGCTTGGTTCTCCGGCATGCGGATGTCTTCCAGGTCGTAGCCCTCGGACTCGTACTGCTCGTTTCGACCGGCGTAGACGATGCTGACGTCCGATGTCTTCGCGAACTCGACTGCCTCGGCGATGCCAGCCTCGTCGGAGCGGTACTCCTCAAAGCAAAGGGATGCGGCGTAGGGTGTGGGCTCGCCTCTCACAAGCACGTCCCGCGACTTCATACTGAGCTTGATGTCGTAGGCTTGGCCCGCGTTCATGGCTAGTTGCACGCGTGTCTCGAGCTTGATGTGGTTGAAGATGAACTGCTCCGTTGCGATGCTGTTCTGCGGCCCGGAGAGAACCTCCTTGCCGTCCACTAGGAGGGAGTATTCTCCGGTAGTTCGGAACGCAAGTGTGTGCTCTCCGGTGCTTTCCGGAGTCAACTTGGTGGTGATTTCGAAGTGAGATCCCGGAACCTTGAGACCAGCCTTGAACTCGCCCAACATCCAGACATCTGCCTTCTCCTGGAACTCGGTCAAGATTGGCTCCGAAGTGTCGTCGTTGAAGTACTTGACATCGATACCGTGACGTCCGTCTTGCGCGGTAAGCTTTGATGGAGGCGCAAATGGAATGACGCGCCTCGTTCGCACACCAGCGGCATACTGCACCTTCTCGTCGGAGAAGGCCTTCTTCAGCAGCTCGAGAGGAGAGTGTCGGTACTGCGGCGTGCACGAAGCGCTGCCTCCGCCGGTGACAACAGGCGCACCGGCGTACTCTCCAATCAAAGCAACCTTGTTCGTCTTTGATGTATCCAAGGGAAGAGCTTCGGCGGTATTCTTCAGAAGAACGATGCCGCTTGCCGCAAGCTCCCGCGCGATCTGGTTGGTCTCGTCGGTTATCTCAGATCTCTCCGGCCGTTCGCCGTGAGCTGTCCTCGTGCGGTTTCGAAGCTCCAGCATCTTGAGAGCTCTGGCGTCGATCTCTGCTTCAGACACCTTGCCAGACTTGACGGCCTCGACCAGCCGTCCGCCTCTAAACACCGGGAAAGGCATCTCGAGGTCGAGACCAGCCTTGACCGGCGCAACCACGTCGTGTACGGCGAACCAATCGCTCATGACCATTCCGTCGAAACCCCATTCCTTGCGCAGAACTCGCTCGATTAATGGCTCGTGTTCGCTGCAAAATGTGCCGTCGACCTTGTTGTACCTGTCACACACTTGCTGTTAGCGTTGTTTAGAATTTCGTAGAGAGAAGAAAGGAACATACGCAGTCATGATGCCAGCCGGATTCGACGTTCTCAGCAAATGCTGCCACGCCGCCAGGTAGACTTCCCTCAACCCACGGCTATCAATCGACGCCTGCACGTCGTAAAAGTGTCTCAGCGTCTCCGAATCGTTGCACACGAAATGCTTTGGGCAACATCCGAATCCATGCTTCTGAATGCCGTTGGTGATCGCGCCAGCAAGCTGGCCAGAAAGCAGAGGATCTTCGCTGAAGCATTCAAAATTGCGTCCGGCACGGGGGTCGCGGTGGATGTTGATCGTCGGGCTCAGGACCATTTGCGCGCTCTTGAGACGGGCCTGGTTGGCGATCTCCTCACCCATGCGGCCCAGAAGCTCGGCATCCCATGTTGAGCCCAAGCAGGCCGTGTTGGGGAAGCATGCGGTCGTGAGGTCGGCTGTGATTCCTGATGGGCGAACCCCAGCAATGGAGTCTGCGACCTGGAAGTGAAATAGTCAGTTTCTGTGTCTTGACACATCTTGAGACGTCATGAGAGCATGCTTACTCTGATGGGAGGAATGTTGAGGCGCGCGACACCTGCTGCTGTGGAGAAGTCACGTCCTGAGAGGAGCGCGACCTTCTCTTCCAACGTCAGTTCGGAGAGGAGGGCTGTGAAGTCCCTCTCGTCAACTTGCGACTCCATCGTGATTTTGGAGAAAAATGCGGAAAATTTGGAGTCAATTGAAGTTGGAGGGGTTCAATGCAGGCGTGTAAACTTTGTGATTGTAGTTGTAGTTGTGTTTCTGTTCGTGACGTCTGGAATTCTCCTCAAGACGGACGGCACTTGGACCTTTAACAGGATGAAGTTTGCAAATTGCATTGTTTTGTCCCGCCACCAAAACATCGTGAAATCGGAGCTTCCAGTTAGCTACCCCATGTGACGATGCACCAGTCGGGGCCACAGCCCCCCGATGCCTCCGACATTCCGACCCCGGAACTTCCCCGCATGAGATCTCATCAGCAAAGACCCCCACATCCCGCCCCCGCTTCGGCTTTTCCGCCGGTTGCTGCTGTTTTGGGGGCATGATTCGGATGTCCAGCATCGTAGGAATCTCCGGGCGGGCCATTTACTACTTAAAGACGAAGACGTGTCCGCGTTCCTGCGCCTCACGGCAGTTGCGATACTTGTGTCGGCATTGTTTGTTGACAAACATCAGAGTCG